TTCCACATTACATACACTGTACAACTTGTTTTACATTCCACATTACATACACTGTAAAACTTGTTTCACACTCCACATTACATACACTGTACAACTTGTTTCACATTCCACATTACATACACTGTACAACTTGTTTTACATTCCACATTACATACACTGTACAACTTGTTTTACATTCCAAATTACATACACTGTAAAACTTGTTTCACACTCCACATTACATACACTGTAAAACTTGTTTCACATTCCACATTACATACGCTGTACAACTTGTTTTACATTCCACATTACATACACTGTACAACTTGTTTTACATTCCACATTAGAAACAGTGCACAACTTGTTTGATATTGAACATTACACACACTGTAAAACTTGTTTCACATTCCACATTACATACACTGTACAATTTGTTTCACATTTTACATGCTGTACTACTTGTTTCACATTGCACATTACATACACTGCACAACTTGTTTGATATTGAACATTACACACACTGTAAAACTTGTTTCACATTCCACATTACATACGCTGTACAACTTGTTTTACATTCCACATTACATACACTGTACAACTTGTTTTACATTCCACATTAGATACAGTGCACAACTTGTTTGATATTGAACATTACACACACTGTAAAACTTGTTTCACATTACACATACTGTAAAACTTGTTTCACATTCCACATTACACACACTGTAAAACTTGTTTCACACTCCACATTACATACACTGTACAACTTGTTTTACATTCCACATTACATACACTGTACAACTTGTTTTACATTCCACATTACATACACTGTAAAACTTGTTTCACACTCCACATTACATACACTGTACAACTTGTTTCACATTCCACATTACATACACTGTACAACTTGTTTTACATTCCACATTAGATACAGTGAAAACTTGTTTGATATTGAACATTACATACACTGTAAAACTTGTTTCACATTCCACATTACATACACTGTACAATTTGTTTCACATTTTACATGCTGTACTACTTGTTTCACATTGCACATTACAAACACTGCACATTCCACATTACATAAACATTAAATGAAATATATTACATATTAGAATAACTGCACACTAATATTTAATTTGTTTCATGCTGTTTTAATTAGATAATCTACTAACTGTAAAATAAAAGTATCTTAACTTTCGTATTTTACATATTTTGATATATTAACTGCATTATAAAAGTGTCTTAAACTTTGTACTATAATCATTTCTTATTGGATGGTACAATAAAGTTTGTTTGGAGTATTTGATGTTTCATAACCATACAATTCATATATCTAGGTTGCCACAAAAGGAGAATCTCATAGCACACGACATGGATCAAAACCAGTAAATGAAGAGAAAAATGGTTATAAAAAACTAGTTCCTTGTAAGTATACGGTAACCTCTTATTCTGACATCATTTACTCTTAGAGACACTATTTCTAGTTTTAGTGTGGTTACAGGTTTCAAATGTATTTTTGTGTTTTTGGTTACATTTGTTGATAACCATGAGATAAACCTACTTCAGTGTTTCAATGGTGACATTTCTAGGTAACAATGTACTAAACTTACTTACTTGTTTCTATGTTTATATTTATAGATAACAATGTGCTAAACCTACTTCAGTGTTTTTATGGATACATTTATAGGTAACAATATGCTAAACCTACTCCACTTTTTCTATGGTTACATTTGTAGATAAAAATATGCTAAACCTAGTTCATTGTTTATATTTTTGTATTTGTAGGTAACAATAAGCTAAACCTACTCCAACTTTTCCATGGTTACATTTGTAGATAAAAATATGCTAAACCTAGTTCATTGTTTCTATTTTGTATTTGTAGGTAACAATAAGCTAAACCTACTCCAGCTTTTCCATGGTTACATTTGTAGGTAACAATATGCTAAACCTACTCCAGCTTTTCCATGGTTACATTTGTAGGTAACAATATGCTAAACCTACTCCAGTTTTTTTATGATTACATTTGTAGGTAACAATAAGCTAAACCTACTTTAGTTTTTCTATGATTACATTTGTAGGTAACAATAAGCTAAACCTACTTTAGTTTTTCTATGGTTATTTATGTAGTTAACAATGTGCTGAACCTACTTCAGTGTTTCTGTGGTTATATTTGTCTACAATATGGTCAACTTACTTCATTGTTTCTATGGTTACATTTGTAGGAAACAACATGCTAATGTTACATTAGTGTTACTATGTTTACGTTTGTAGAACCATGTGCTAATGCTACATTAGTGTTACTATGGTTACATTTGTAGAACAATGTGCTAATGCTACATTAGTGTTACTATGGGGACATTTGGAAGTAATGATGTGCTAATGCTACTTTAAATCTCTACAACTTTACTGTGTTAATATGATCACTTTTATACTCGGCTGTCCTTATGGTAACATCATCATAATCTGGGCTTGTTGAAGAGACATCATTCTTCAAGATAGGCTGTCCTGTTACAGGGAAGCCAGATTAATGCTGCGTAACAGTCTTGCAGTCTTCTTAGGTCCTAAAGACGTACATCTTTCTTTATTCTTAACATCCTATATATTATGTACCATAAAACAATAGATAAGAAGTTATTATATAACATACTACTAGAAGTTACAGTGCACGCTCTTCGTCCTTTTTAAAATATTGTGATTAATTCATCTTTATTCTTGATTGTCTATAGATGACTACAACCGAGTTGTGTTGGAGCCTCTTGCCGGGATCCCAGATAGTGATTATATTAATGCATCTTATATTGATGTAAGTTCTCAAACCTTAGTCTCTTGTATTGTAGTTAAACGTCAACCCTGTGCCTACACTAGCACTAACTTCTTAACCTTCTGTTTTATATGTGAATACTTTTCATTATCCTTTGATATATTTGATCATTTATTTCAATATTAACTTACTAACTAAGATTATACATATACATATAATTTAAGGATAAAAAGGGATCTGTTGGTCCATTTAGGCTTTCTCATCTACTATATTTAACTCTAAAATAAAATACACAAAACCAGCCCTTATCACAAGAAAAAATGGTGCAGCAACACTGTCAATTCTCTTAACAATCTTAAACACCTCAACCAGATTCCTTGTAATTCTTCTTCTTTCAACAGCAAACAATTTCAGAGATCTTAACCTCTCCTATGACAACCTTTCCATCCCAGACATCATCCTAATAGCCCTCCTCTGAACCCTTTCCAAACAATTCAGTGTCCTTCAACATAGGGACTGTTTTGTTTCAGTGCTTATGTTGTGGTAAGATTATCATTTGTTCTGTCATTAAAAGAATTTGTAAAGTATTAACTTACAAACACGTGATGGTCTTACCCATTCATGCAAACCCTCACTGATCAAAGGACTCTGAAGAAACAAGATGCTTTGAATTGATTAAAGAAACAGCAGATTTAATCATAATGATAATACAAACTCTAATAGCAGATGTACATTTTCCCTACTCCTTGAATCAAAACAATGTTTTTATATATACATATTAAGTGGTTATTTGTAACATTTTTATTTGTTTTAACTAACATTTTATCCAATGAACTTCTATCATATTTTTGGTTTTTAACTTTGAAAGGAGACAACATACAAACTAAAAATGTTTACAATGTGGCTTCCAAAATTCTGAAGTAAAAATATACATTTTTATTTATTTTCAGAGCATCCTAAAGCCAAATGCCTATATAGCAGCTCAAGGTAGGATATCTCATACTGTTTCTCTGGCTCTTGAAAACTGAAGCTATGTTATTTCTGTTTTGTTGGTTTGCTGATTCTTGAAAGCTGAAGTTATATTATGTACCTTGTACTAGCTCTCTGGTTCTTGAAAGCTGAAATTATATTACATCCCTTGTATTTGTTTTCTAGTTCTTGAATGCTGAAGTTATATTACACCCATTATACTGGTTCTTGAAAGCTGTGTATTACTTTCCTTGTACTGGTTTTTTGGTTCTTGGGAGTTGAAGTTATGTTATGTCCTTTGTACTAGTTCTCTGGTTATCGAACGTTGAAGCTATATTACATCCCTTGTACTGGTGCTTGAAAGGTGAAGTTATATTATGTCCATTGTACTGGTTCTTGAAAGCTGAAACTATATTACATCCCTTGTATTTGTTTTCTAGTTCTTGAATGCTGAAGTTATATTACACCAATTATACTGATTCTTGAAAGCTGAAGCTGTATATTACATTCCTTGTACTGGTTTTTTGGTTCTTGGGAGTTGAAGTTATGTTATGTCCTTTGTACTAGTTCTCTGGTTATCGAACGTTGAAGCTATATTACATCCCTTGTACTGATGCTTGAAAGGTGAAGTTATATTATGTCCCTTGTACTGGTTCTCTGGTACTTGTAGGCTGAAGTTGTGGTACATCTCTTGTAATGGTTTTTGAAAGCTGAAATTATATTTCATCACTTGAACTTATTCTCTGGCTATTGAAAACTGAAGTTATATTATGTCCCTTGTACTGATTCTTTGGTTCTTCAATGGTGAATCTATAGTACGTCCATTTTATTGGTTCTTTGGTTCTTGAAAGTTGAAGTTATGGTACATCCCTTGTAATTGTTCTCTGGTTCATGAAAACTGAAGTTATATTATGTCCCTTGTACTGATTCTTTGGTTCTTCAATGGTGAATCTATAGTACGTCCATTTTATTGGTTCTTTGGTTCTTGAAAGTTGAAGTTATGGTACATCCCTTGTAATTGTTCTCTGGTTCATGAAAGCTGAAGTTATATTATCCCTTGTACTGATTCTATGCTATGGTATGTCCATTTTATTGTTTCTCTAGTTCTTAAAAGTTGAAGCTATATTAACTTCCTTGTAGTAGTCTTTTGGTTCTTGAAAGTTGACAGCTATATTACATCTACTGTTCTGGTTCTCTGATTAATGAGAGCTGAAAACTATAGTACGTCTCTTCTGCTGTTTCTCCAGTTCTTGAAAAGTGAAATTATGTTTATTGTTATTCATTCCTAGCTCTGATCTTTTGCTATATAATTCAGTTTTATTTTTCTTTACTCTAGTGTTCCTCTATATAATCCAGTTTTCTCTTCATATTTGTTTATACAATTAAGTTTTATGCTCGTCTTTGTTTATTCTAGTGTTTCTCTGTATATTTCAGTTTTACATTTATCTTTCATTACTCTAGTGTTTTTCTATATAATTCAGTTTTATAATTCTCTATTATTGTGTTTCTCGATATAATTCAATTTTATGTTTATCTTTCTTTATTCCAATGTTTCTCTATATAATTCATTTTATGCTAGTCTTTGTTCATTTCTTTATTCTAGTGTTTCTATGTATGGTCCAGTTTTATGCTTATCATTGTTCATTCTAGTGTTTCTATGTATGGTCCAGTTTTATGTTTATCATTGTTCATTCTAGTGTTCCTCTTTATATTTCAACTTAATGCTAGTCTTTTTTTATTCTAGTGTTTTTCTATATAATTCAGTTTTATATTTATTTAGTTTATTCTAGTGTTTCTTTATATGATTCAGTTTTATGCTAGTCTTTGTGTGTTCTAGTTTTCTCTATATAATTCACTTTTATTCTATCTTTGTTTATTCTAGTGTTTCTCTATATAGTCCAGTTTTATGTTTATCTTTGTTTATTCTAGTGTTTCTCTAAATAATTCAGTTTTATGTTTGTATTTGCTTATTCTAGTGTTTCTCTATATAGTCCAGTGTTATGTTTATCTTTCTTCATTCTAATGTTTCTCTATATAATTCGGTGTTATATTTATTTTTGTTTATTCCAGTGTTTCTCTATATAGTCAGGTTATGTGTTTATCTTTCTTTATATTAGTGTTTCTCTATATAGTCCAGTTTTATGTTTATTTTTGTTCATTTTAGTGTTTTTCTATGTAATTCAATTTTATGCTAGTCTTTGTTTGTTTTAGTTTCACTATATAATTGCATTTTATGCTTTTCTCTCTTTATTCTAATGTTTCTCTGTATAATTCAGTTTTATGTTTACAGTTGTTCATTCTAGTGTTTGTCTATATAATTCAGTTTTATGCTAGTCTTTGTTCATTTGTTTATTCTAGTGTTTCTCTATATATATTCCAGTTTTATGTATATCTTTGTTCATTCTAGTGTTTGTCTATATAATACAGTTTTATGTTTATCTTTGTTCATTTTAGTGTTTCTCTATATAATTTAATTTTATGCTAGTTTTTGTTTATTCTAGTGTCTCTTTATATAATTCAATTTTATGCTGGTCTTTTTTATTATAGTGTTTCTATGTAAAATTCAATTTTATGTTTATCTTTGTTCATTTTAGTGTTTCTCTATATAATTCACTTTTATTCTATCTTTGTTTGTTTTAGTTTCTCTATATAATTCAGGTTTATGTTTATATTTTTTATCCTACTGTTTCTCTATGTAAATCATTTGTATGTTTATATTTTTTTAATGTTTCTCTATATAGTTGAGTTTTATGCTAGTATTTGTTTTTCTAGTGTTTTGCTGTGTAGTCCAGTCTTCTGTTTACATTTGTTTATTATAGTGTTTTGCTATATAGTCCAGTCTTATGTTTATATTTGTTTATTCTCATGTGTCTCTAATATATTCCAATTTATGTTTATATTTACCTTAGGTCCAAATGAGTCCACAATCCCAGACTTCTGGAGAATGGTGTGGGAACAGAATACTCACGTTATTGTCATGTTGACAAAAGTGTTCGACTTTATAAGGGTAATTTTGGTTTATGAAAATCTTTAGAATTTAGATTTATTTATTAAATTTCCAATTAGAAATAATACCATATACAAATACTGAAAGAATGCTTATTTTACTTTCTTTGATAGAAATGTTTATCTACAGAAGTTAAATCATAGTTACCACAATAAATTAATATTCAAAATAGTGTGTAATAAAATACCTTGTTCACCGTCATTAATTACAAAACACTAACAACATAGATCATTTGATATATATATATATGTATATAAATAACAATATTCTCTATTACAATTTTGCTTAACAAACTCAGGTTCAATATAATTTTGAAACTAACAAAAGTTCAGTAATGAATTAGAGCTAATAACACAAATTTAATATATAATTGAACATTACACAATTTCAACATAGAATTGAACTAGCCAAAGGTAGGTATGGTCTTGAAACCAACACAAGTTAAAACTAGTCTTGGAACCAACACAAGTTAAAACTAGTCTTGGAACTAACACAAGTCAAGTCTAGTCTTGGAACTAACACAATTTAAGTATGATCTCAGAGCTAACACAAACTAAATATGATCTCAGAACTAGCACAAGTTGAGCATAGTCTTAGAAATAACACAAATATGAAACTAAGTTGAATGGACAGCAACTGCCTGTTGTAGAAACACAAGTGTAGAGGATGAAATTTTAAAAGTCTTCTGCCTTTCATCTTCAGGTCGTCCTCTACACTTGTGTTTCTACAACAGGCAGTTGCCGTCCATTCAGTTTAGTTTCATCATGAATACTCTGCCTAAACAATCTATTAAAAAATAACACAACTATAGTATTGCCTTGAAACTAACACAAGTATAGCCTTGGAATTAACACAAGCTAAATATGATCTCAGAACTAGCATAAGTTAAGTATAATCTTGTAACTAAAACAATAAAGGATATATATATCAGAACTAACACAAGTTAAAACTAGTCTTGGAACTAACACAAGTTAAGACTAGTCTTGGAAGTTAAGACTAGTCTTGGAACTAACACAAGTTAAAACTAGTCTTGGAACTAACACAAGTTAAGACTAGTCTTGGAACTAACACAAGTTAAGTATGATTTCAGAACTAACACAAGTTAAGTATAGTCTTTGAATTAAGATAAGTTAAGTCTAGTCTTGGAACTAACACAAATTAAATAGTCTTAGAACTAACACAAATTAAATAGTCTTAGAACTAACACAAATTAAGTATGATCTCAGAATTGACATAAGTGTAGTCTTGATACTAACACAAGTCAAGTATAGTCTTGAAATTAACACAAGTTAAACATAATCTTGGAACTAGCCCAAGTTAAGTATAGTCTTGGAACTAACAAACATACAGTAAGAAGAAATTACGATTTAGTAAACATCAAACAAGCCAAGATCATTTTTTTTGGTAAAATTATACAAAATTACTCAAGATATATATACCACAAAGTAGGGTTTCTGAAGAAAAATAAAATTTGAGATAATCTCAAATATTTAGTTCTTTTACTGCAAATGCTACAGTTTAATTGATAACTTTTGTTTTACCATTGTATTTGGTGATAGTGTGTTATGGAAAGTATCCAGACAGCTTCAAAGTGACCAGATTTACATCAATTTTAATCTCATACACTTTATCTAATCAAACAAGTTACTGATAATCATTTCCCTGACTTCTGCAGGTTATGTGTGTTCAGTATTGGCCTAGTGAAATTGGTCATCCCGAAATTTGTGGGGATCTGGAATTAACACTTTTATATGAAGAAAGTCTTGCCAATTTCATGATCCGTACTGTACGGGTTAAAAAGGTGAGTGAAACACACTATTTGGTACGTCCACTTTTTACAAGTAGCACTTTTATACGAAGAAAGACTTGGCAATTTCATGATCCGTACTGTACAAGTCAGGAAGGTCAGTAAAATATTCTATTTAGTTTTAGACATAAACAAAACTTTCAAAATTATTGAACCATCTATCTGCGGGTAAGTTAAGACATTAAGCTGGACTGGACATGTGTAAGTTTTAACATTAAGCTGGACTATACATGGGTAAGTTTTAACATTAAGCTGGACTGGATATGGATAAGTTTTAATATTAAGCTGGACTGGATATGAATAAGTTTTAATATTAAGCTGGACTGGATGGGTAAGCTTTAATATTCAACTTGGCTGGATATAAGTGAGTTTTAACATTAAGCTGGATTGGACATGGGTACGTTTTAACCATCTATTAAACCGGCTTGGATATATTTAAGTTTTAACATTAAGCTGACTTGGATATAGGTAAGCTTTAACATTATAGTGAATTGTACATGGGTAAGTTTTAACATTAAACTGGACTGTGTATGGGTAAGTTTTGCAGTAAATAGAAAACATTCTTTTAACTTATACCTAAAATATTGTTTTGTAAAATTAAAAATATGTTTTTCTGTTAAAATACCCTAGAAACGATACTTTTAATTAACTTACGCCCATAAGATTTATGTACTTTCTAAACTAATAATATGCCTGTCATGCCCTGGTGATTAAGGTGCTAGATTTGCAATATGCGGTTTGCGGGTTTGAATCCCCATCACCAAACATGCTCGCCCTTTCAGTCATGGGGACGTTATAATGTGACAATCAATCCCACTATTTGTTGGTAAAAGAGTAGCCCAAGAGTTGGTGGTGGGTGGTATTGACTAGCTGTCTATCATTGCTAAATTAGGGACAACTAACAGATAGACCTTGAGTAATGTTGCATAGAATTCAAAACAAGCCTAAACTAATAGTCATGAAAGAGGGAATATTCTAATCATGTACTTTATTTTAGAAGTGTTTTTATATTTCATTTGTTTAGAGTTTCTAGCGTGCTAATACAAAACAGAAAATAAAGACATTCATACTCTCTAACAGAAAAAGCAAAGTTTTGTCCAAGTCAGCTGGAATTACCTATATTCTAGTGTGTATTTATTATACAGTATTCTGCTTGTGTTTAAGATGACTGCTTATAATTTCTTACAGAACGAAGAAGAACGAGAAGTGTCCCAGCTCCACTTCACTAACTGGCCATCACATACCGTTCCCTTCCCTAGTGCTCTCTTAGAGTTTCGGCGGCGGGTTCGGGTTTACATGGATCAGTTTCCTGACGTTGGGCCCCCTGTCGTTCACTGCAGGTACTTCTAATAGGGTTTTTACTACATATAACATAACTAGAGCATACTGTCATGTGATCTCATAAAGCTAAAGTACCTGCTCTATTCAACTGTATCTCAGCCATTATGGACTCATTTTTTATTTTAAAATATTCTTTATTTACGTCTAAAATGGACATACAAGGGTCCGGTTAGAAATGTTAATAAATGTTGTGTAATTCGTTTACTGAGTGTGTTCCTTATATAGTATATATATTTATTATAGAGTTTAAACACATGAAATGAGAAACAATCATGACAGTGCAAATTGGTCTTTTCTCCTAACTTTTTTAGACTTTTTGAAATAATTGCAATTATGACGACAAACACTTTCCATAATCTCGTGAATTCATTATAAAAAATTTTTATATCAGCTACAATGGAGAACATTAATCAAGAATGATTAAACGTTTTAGACGATATTTTACAAAATTATTTAAAGTCTACCTGTCATACAGAGCCTTAGTTGTTGTTGTCTCTAGTATGTTTGTAGTAGTTTGTTCCAAATCAATTACTTTATGACAGACACTTGAAAACACAATAATATTTATTATACTGCTGTAAGCTGTATTTCTAATTTTGTAATTTAAATATTGCCCAGAGAGAGTTGCAGATTTTTAAGAATAACATTAAGATCAAAAGGTTTAATAAGATAGGCCTAAAATACCCATAAAGCTAAGCACATAACATAGTGTTCTAGCACATTAGAAGCTAGGTTATAAATACAAGATAGTTGTGAAGTGATTATTTTTTATTTATTTTTAAAAAGATAGAGAGTTCAAACAGTCAGTTTATTTTTGTGAAGTATTTGGATCTTTGCTCATTGCACTTATCGAGTTACTTTGTACGAGTACGAGTAAGTTGATTTGTTTTATGCTAGTTAACGTACGACAGTATATGTTTTCTATCTTGTTACCACATTAAAGAAGATAATAAACTATTTTTGTATAGTTTAAGTGGGCTGGAACTTGAATTATTTGTACCAGATAAGTTAAAATAATCCACCAATGAAAGAACAACAATATTACAATACGATATCCTGGCTAGAGAAGAAATGGTTCAGTTTTGGATGTTTAGCTTTTAATGTAATTTTGTGAATAGTTATTCTATTTTTTATTTCTAAACTCTAGTGATGGCTGTGGTCGAACAGGAACATATTTGGTGATTGATGCAAATTTGGAACTTGCTAAAGAAGATGGGGTTTTCGACGTTTTCAACTACACGAAACAAATAAGGTGTGCAAGAAAAGGCATGGTAGAAACATTGGTGAGTTTATTGTAGAGAAGAAAAGTCATGGTAGAAACTTTTATGAGTTTATTATAGTGAAGAAAAGTCATGGTAGAAACATTGGTGAGTTTATTGTAGTGAAGAAAAGGCATGGCTAGAAACATTGGTGAGTTTATTATAGTGAAGAAAAGTCATGGTAGAAACATTGGTGAGTTTATTATAGTGAAGAAAAGGCATGGTAGAAACATTGGTGAGTTTACTATAGTGAAGAAAAGTCCTGATAGAAGCATTGGTGAGTTTATTGTAGCGAAGAAAAGGCACAGTAGAAATATTTGTGAGTTGTTTATAGAAAGACAAGAAATACAATAAAAGTGCTTGATAAAACGGCAGCAAAAATGATTTTATACTCTATAAAATATTTTAAAAATCATTTATCGAGAATATCAAAAGCTATTTAATTTGAGTAATAGTTTTTACTCAACAGTATAAACATAATGCAATATACTACTTAGTCCAATGAGCAAGAAACAAAAATATTGCCCATACCTAAACTACACACCACAGCTGTGGTAAGAACATTACAGAATGTATCACACTTGGGTCCAGTAAGCAAGTAACTAAAACACTGCCCATTTCTCCTATACTCACCACATTACAGTACATTGAATTGAATTATTGGAAAGGGTTCAGAGAAGGGTTACTAGAATGGTGCCTGGGATGGAGGGGTTGTCTTATGGGGAAATTGTTTTCTCTTGAAAAAAGAGTTAGATGGGATATGATTGAGATGTTTAAAATTGTTAAGGGAACTGATAGTGTTGATGCATCATTCATCATTTTTCGTACTTAATGGTGAGAATGGTAGGACTAGGGGGCACAAATATATATTTTGGCAGGGTATGAGTCATCTTCAGCTAAGACAGTTATATTTTTCTAACAGGGTGGCTGGCCTTCGAAACCGGTTGCCTTCTGATGTTATGGAGGCAGTAAATTTAAGTGAGTTTAAGAGAAAACTTGATAACTGTGAATGATAAGATCTGGCTTTGGGGTTTTATATTATTTAATAGTTTCAGTTTAGTTTAGAGGATGAGACAGCCTAGATGGACCAATAAGTCCCTTGTTGTCCCTAAACAATGTTACGTTAAACATTACAGGGCCTAACATACCAACATCCAGCGAACAAGCACAAAACAAAACACTGCCCTTTTCTCCACAACTACAGTAAAAAACGTACTGGTTGTCAATTGCTTCCATTGGTTTTAAACATACTGAAATAAAGGGAAAAGCTAAAAGAAAGACAAAGATAGAGAAGACATGCTTGTAAATCAATAAATTCACTGCTAAAATGACTGTAGGTAAATAAACAGCTACTTGAATGGCAAAGAGTGAGCAGGCGGAATAATTTACAACTTGTTTTAACATTATTACACTTGATGGAAATGTATGAAATGTTAACATCATCAATGTGTAACAGTTTTTCCAATAAGATATCTTACCCCCATTCACAAAATAGCTTTTCTCAATTTGTACTGCCCTCTATCGGTACAAATTTTCAACACCCACCTCCTGCTTCTACATATCCACGTGTAAATGATTATGCAGCAGCTCTCCACCAATAGGAGCGTGACATAACTCCTGTCGTAACCAGCTCCCTCTTCACATTTGCTCTCATTAACCTTGATTGGCAGTAGTACTGTACAGACATGTTTGTTTTTGCTCGCAAATTTGGCGACATTTTCCTAGTTTTTCTTTTACTATGTTTTGTTATTTGTTTATTTACAGGGGCCTTTTTGATAGTGTGTTGTGGATCCCACTCTGTATCAAGTGATGCCTGACCAGATATACTTTTTTTTTAATCTGCACTGTCCATCCTGTGACCATGTCAATTACATTGTAGCTCTTCCTACCATGGGCCTGATGTACAATTCCAGCTGCCGCCAGGTGTTGTTTGTGTGTCTCCATTCAATTATCACAATGCCGAAACAATTATGTCACAGGATTAGGTTATGCACACCATAGAGATGGGGTGTTTCGTTTTAACTGCTAGTAGTTCTCACTAATTGTCTTTTGCTTCATAAATATGTTCGTCCCAGACTGTACACTCCTGGACACAGATGAGTAAAGTTGACAGGGATTGCTGCCCATCTCTGATGGTCTGGGGCATTGAGACTCTTCCTACTGTGGATCTGACGTACAATTCCAGATGCCGCCGGATGTTGGTTGATCGACTTCATTGACGTGGTATCGTGGTCCCCTGTTGTACTGTCACTGGTGATGCAGTCCTCCAGACTCTTTAGCACGTTTTTCCCTCCTTTCTTCTAGTGGAGTATGGGAGTCATTGCCACTTACCAGTTCCTAGCCACTCGGGGGGTGGACCATGGAGGCCTGTCCTCCTGAGTGATGCATCATACCACTCAGTTGGGAGTAGGATAGTGGTATTCTGCGGGTTTTAATGGCATGTAGCACTTCTGATATACAATTCCAGATACCACCAAGGTTTGGTTGAAGCACTCTGCCATGTCACGACTATATATATATATATATATATTGTAGTTTACCCCTCCAGCTAAGTAAGTCCTCACAAGTGTTCTGGCCTGGTATCTCTCTTCATACTGTAGACTGGATAAAAAATGCCAAATGCCACCAGGTTTGGGGTTAGAGATGCACCCCAGGTTTGAGTTTCCTCTTCCTACCATCTGCTGGATGTTGATTCCTGGCAGATCTAGTGTTGGCTGTAGCTGGATGCAGCACAGTATTCCTACTTGTGTATGGCTAGGTATCCTCCTCCTCCTACTGTGGACTGGAAGAACAATACCCAATGCTTCCAGGTTTTGGAACAGAGAAGTAATCTCACAGGGGCATTCCTCCTTCCTACCATCCAATGGATGTCGGTTCGTGGTAGAACAGGTGATGATTGGGTTGCAAATGTGCACAAGTGGAGACGGATTTTGGTACAGAAGCTCGTCTTCCTTACCAGTTTACGTTTCGAGGTGAAGAGGTAGGTAATCCTCTGCCTACTGCAGAACTGTTGTACAATTCCAAATACTGCCAGGTGTTGGATGAGATCAAACTACCACTATGGTCTGTCGGGCCCTAAGCAGTCGACACCCAGGGTTCTCATTCATCAGTAATAAGTATCATGGGATTCCTTCATGTTTTTCTGTCTTTTATGTTCACAACACAACCATAAAAGAGTATACCTGGATCAGGTGTGGTGTGGTCTCTCACTGAGGTGTGATATTTTATTTTTTTGGTTCCACACCTCATGGTCTATCTAAAGGGGAATAATTTTTTCACTGGCCCTCCAACAATTCAATGTGGAATTCTAGCTACTTTGTGAGAGGAAGTAAGATATTGTATTGGAAACTAACATTTTTCTAAACTAAAAATGTATTTCCGATAGATACTTACCTCATCACACATTTCTCACCCAACCTCCCAACTTCCAGTGAGATGTGGTGTAGGTCTTCTGACCAATCTTGAAGTGATTAACAAGTGTAAATGTGGAGAGGGCGCTGGTTACAATAGGGGTTGTGTCGCACTCCTATAGGTGGAGAACTACTGCATAATCATTTACAGATGTATATGCAAAAGCGGCAGGTAGAAGGCTAGTGGCAAGAGTTGAAATTTTGTTCCGATAGACGGCACTACTAATCGAGAAAGGCTATTATGTGAGAGGAGGTATCGATCGAAAATACAATTTCAGTTTAGGAAAATGTTAACTTTTTTCCTAGTTTTCTTTAAGGTTAAAGGTGAACACGCAGTATCAGGTTTATTATATCCCTTAAATTCACTTTGTTGTCTTGTTTCTTTAGGAACATTACAAGTTTATCTACGAAACTTTGGAGGACGCTTACGTGTGCGGCGCCACCTGGTTTCCCATTAGCGAACTATCTCAAAAACTTAAGTACAAATCACAGAAGAACAGTACAACAAGGCTGAACGAATATCAGCGAGAGTACCAGGTGCGTAAGTTATCCTGTGTTCGAGATTTTCATTAACTACAAATATTATACAGTTTTACTAGTCTTTTTGCTTGTTAATCATAACATTTTGGTAGATAATTCTGCCTTAGTTGATTTTTTTATACTCTAAGTTTTTGGAATAGAAGTTACTTCATTAAAAGCAAATTTTTAATAACATAGGATGAGTTGAATAGAATAACTAGTTTTAGAGCAGAACATTATAACACTTGAGGGTGTTTGCTTTAATATTCTTTTATTTGAATGCTCTTGTATTATTAGGCTTAGCAATGCAAATCACACGCGCATATATGCATATATATATATATATAAATTATTAATAATTGACAATTTTCCATAGTTGAACTGTTTGTTCGTTTTCATCTTTTTTATCGCATGTTAATCTATACAGTGTTAACTTTTTTTACCTTAGCTTTTCAGCGCATGATGTATCATTCTCGCTGCTCTGGCAAGTAGCGCAATTTAATTATTTTTTTCTTTTTACCACATGTAAAATTGACTTAAGAAAGGATGAAACATGCCGTTCAAGTCGCATTCTGAAGAACGTGTAAAACGTTTCTCAATTTGTATGTCAGTTGCTATGAAGGACATCAAACTTTTTATAACTTGTTACGTGTGGCTATGTAATTGTTCTGCGCTATATTTTCAATGTTTTATCGTTTATCAGTGGCATGTGGGGGGGGGGGTCAAGGGGACGGCATTTGCTCTAACAGGCTACAAATAGTTTACCCAGAATTTTGCTGTTCCATTATGACTAAGGCTCATTAATTAAAATGTTTTTGTTATGGTTGACATAAGATATTAATATATCATCAGAAATACCATGCCTAGGGAAATCCCTTGGTTTTCGGTGTTAGATTGATTAAAATACGAATACACTGACATCTCATAGTTGATAGAAAATTTAGCAATTTTGTGAACACCTGACAATTTTAGGTTGTATTTTTCAAGCTGTCGACAGATTTTTGGCGGCCCAAATAATTCTATTTCAGATTTATTCGTTCTATAATCATACCAATCAGGGGAGTTATGGTGCGTTTTAATATTAATGTAGAGTATAATATGCAACATATTATAAAGGGCGGGTGGAGGGGACGGCAGGCGCCCTTACTACGCTACTGGTAGCAATTGTGTGAAGTCTAGAAGTTTCATTAAAGTTTAGGCCTCTGTGAAGTTTTCTGTAGTATGTAGAAATTAGTACAACATAAGAAAACGACAGCCCGAATAAATTAAAATTAAGTTTGTTCAGTATCAGTTAAAGAGATTTAGTGAATTAGACAATGAGAGTTGTGTCTGTTTTTGTCAGTGATCGCCCCCCACAGTGGCACAGCGGTATGTCTGCGGACTTACAACGGTAGAATCCTGGTTTCAATAACCGTGGTGGGCAGACTTCGATTTGACTTCGATTGTTTTAGATAAAAATTGTTGTACTGTGCGTTTAATTGTATCTAGCTTTTTTCTTTTTTTTAAACTCAGTCGAGATCTGAGAATTTGGACTTTGGCTCCTCAAAACATTTTCTGACAATCCTTCTGTTATCTTGAGGTTCTTACCCGATTTCTTCAAGGGAAGCCAGAAAACCTGAGAACGCTACACCTGAATACTAGATATAGTTCGTGAGAGAACTCTGTTTTTTGTGTGTTTTGTTTTTTAGGTTTATCTCATTTTACGCCTAAATAGGATGACCAACATTTCATAAACCTACTGTGTTTCACTTGCTGCAAGCTATTCCTCGATTATCTCACGAGACTAACAAAGGATGTTATAAGAAAATGCTGGTCAAATTAAAACTCGCGGCATTTTAACGGTATGGTTCGAGATTATTGTGAAACTACAATACCCTTTTGTTTAAATGCCGTACATTGTTGTGTTTTAATAAGAACTTACTTGTGATTTGTTGAGATCTATCAAAATGTACAATATAAAGATATAAATATAAGTCAGCATATAGGGTTAAGGGAATGAAGGAGCTAGAAGAGAAGTTAGTTTTGATTGTTTGTAAATTTGTAACCCCTTTTTTTTTCCTAGATAATTTGCAAGATGTCCTCTAAGTTGTCTATAGGAGATTGTGCCGGCGGCCATAGGCCAGAAAACAGAGAAAAAAACAGGGATGTTGCCATTGTTCCTCGTAAGTTTCTTGTGTTTCTGAACATCGAACTTTATTTTGTTTTAATATTGTTACGTATCTGCTTATTTGATAATTTCCCGTAAAAATTCTTTCCGAGAAACTTCAGCGATACAAGTCCTTTCTTAATTAAACTAGTTTATTCTTTCTCGTTACAAACTTTGTAATACACTTAATTTCCACAGTCACTTTAAACTTAACTACTTTTATAAACACACCCTATAATTCACAGCGATTCACACACTTTACTTACAGTGCCTACTGCTCGCTTGACTCGATTATTTCAATTATTTCTCTTCAATCTATCTCCGGCTTATATACTAAAAAAGAGGGTGTCTAGCAAACGCTAGGACATTCGTGAGGTTGCTCGCTAAGTCACGATTCTTCTAGAAACTCCAGCGCGCATGCTCCCAGCGTCGCGTGACTTCCGCTGTCGTAACAATATGATTCAATGATATATACAGAACCAAGCTCACTCTGCCTGATGATGGGCCACTTTTGTAAATTAAAATTTTAACTTGGGCCCAAGTATTATTGTTAGTAATGGCTACAAATACAATTTGCGAAAGAAAAAAAAAACGATTTTTATAAGCAATTGTATAATGCCTTATAACTGTGTACAATATTTATTTGAAACGGGATGACCTTTTAATTTTGTTACTTACATTAAGATAAACCCAGAAAACGATCTATTGTGGAGAAATAAAAATAAATTTATTATTTTAAGTAAAATAACAGTTTTATTGAGCCAACTGTCCATATTTAGGCTTCGTCGAGGCTAGATAGACAATATACCTATTATATTGATAAGTATTGTATTGATTGCTTAATACTTTTAAATTTAATCGTAAGCCGAAATAGCAAAACACTGAATTTAAATAGACTGTTCATTTATTTCAAATAATGTCTTATTTTTATATCACTTGTATATCAGTCTGCACTACGACTTTTTCAACTAAGTAAATAATTTATTTGTTTCAGCTGACAACTTTAGACCATATCTGACGTCATTCCAGAGCAATGATAGCACTGATTATATCAATGCCGTTTTTGTTGATGTAAGCTTCACACTTTTATACTTATCCGTGCTTATAATTTTTGTTGAAGTATGTATCTAGACAGTATTACTGTTTGAATGTAAAGTGTTTTGATGGTATTGTTTTGTCGTTTTCATCGATAGTGGAAGATCTAATACTTTTGGTACACAAAATATATGATTGTAATTTGTACAACAGATGTTGAAGTACGTCCAAAAAATAAATTATTTTAAAAAATTTGAAGTTGTGCTATAAAATCGTATGCGTGCCTAAACTTCTGATCCTATGAGGATTCTGCTAAAAACATTTTTGGGTCAATGTTAGAAAGAAAAATATGACAAAAGTAATTTATCATATTTTAAAGTATGCTTGTATTATTATTAAAGAGACTGTTCTTTCTCAAATATTTTGGTTAGCAAAGAAATAATTTCAAATTATATCCAAAATGTTTAGTGAAGTTTAGCCTAATGTGCATGCTTTAATGAGAAGTGCCAGAAGAATGTACTGAACCACACAGTGTACAATAGTCATAGACCATACTTTGGACAATTTAAAGAGGTTATTTTACATATTACCAAACCTGTATAGATTGTAAACTAGCTTTAGTATCAAAGCTATGAGAGTTGAAAATGTAAAATTATAAGAAAAAAGTTATAGTTATTACATATATTCACATTATAACAACAAATGAAAGTGTGTTGAGTTTTCAATGTATCAGGTTAATAATGTATTTATTCAAGATTTATCAAATGAATCTTTAATGTTTTCTGTGTTTGATACATAGGGCTACACAAGATCAAAGGAATACATCATTACAGAGTGGCCATTACAAAAGACAGTCCCTGATCTATGGTCACTAGTGTATGACCATGATTGTAATTCCGTTGTAGTTCTCTGTAGCCCACCACCATCAAATGTAACTATTTCAGATTTTTTTATGGTAACAGGAATACTATAGTTGTTTACAGATGTAACCCAACACCATCTAGTGTAACTATTTCAGATTTTTGTATAGTAACAACAGGAATACTATAGTTGTTTACAGATGTAACCCAACACCATCTAGTGTAACTATTTCAGATTGTTGTATAGTAACAACAGGAATACTAGAGTTGTTTACAGATGTAACCCAACACCATCTAATATAACTATATCAGATTGTTGTATCGTAACAACAGGAATACTAGAGTTGTTTACAGATGTAACCTGACACCATATAGTGGAACTATAACAGATTGTTGTATAGTAACAACAGGAATACTAGAATTCTTTAGAGATGTAACCCAACACCATCTAGTGTAACTATATCAGATTGTTGTATAGTAACAACTGGAAAACTGTATTTGTTTACAGATGTAACCCAATACTATCTAATGTAACTATTTCAGGTTTTTGTATGGTAGCAACAGGAATACTGTAGTTGTTTAAAGATGCAACCCAACACTATCTAGTGTAACTGTATCAGATTGTTGTTGTTGTAACAACAGGATTATAAATACTCACAACATTGTATAATTCTCCTCCCCCCATAGTTGCTCAGTATCAAGTCTTAGGGCTAATATTTCCAAAATTAGGTTTTGGTGCTGATGGTGGGCACAGCACAGATAGTTCACAAACTAATAAGAACATTTTACTTGAGAAACATTTAATGACACTCCATTCTATATTCTTTTAGTATTTTATTAGTGTTTATTACTTGTTTTAGTATCAGTCATATAGTGTAGAAGATATTAGAACAGATCTGTATTATAACATCAGTCTAGTAGATATTATACAAAATCTGTGCTGTAGCATCAATCACATAGCAGGTATAAAACAATATATATAGTATAGTATCAGCCACATATAAATTAACATCTGTTCTCGAGCATCAGTCACACAGTTTATATAAATAGCCATCTGTACTCTAGCATCAGCCATAGAACAGATATAAAACAAGACCTGTACTCTAGCATCAGTCACATAGCAGATGTAAAACAAGATATGTATTCTAGTATCAGTCACATAGCAGATGTAAAAGAAGATATGTACTCTAGTATCAGTCACATAGCAGATGTACAACAAGATGTGTACTCTAGCATCAGTCACATAGCAGATGTAAAACAAGATATGTATTCTAGCATCAGCCATATAACAGATATAATACAATATACTGTACTCTAGCATCAGTCACATAGCAGATGTAAAACAAGATATGTACTCTAGCATCAGTCACATAGCAGATGTAAAACAAGATATGTACTCTAGCATCAGTTACATAGCAGATGTACAACAAGATATGTATTCTAGCATCAGTCACATAGCAGATGTAAAACAAGATATGTATTCTAACATCAGTCACATAGCAGATATAAAACAAGACCTGTACTCTAGCATCAGTCACATAGCAGATATACAATCTGTGTTGCAGATGCGAAATGGAAAAACTATAGTCATGAATGTCTGTTCAACAATACTTTGATACACATCTTTCATATTGCCATTTAATGGTACATTATATCCACTTTTCCATACAGTGTAAATTACAAACATTTTCTATACTTATTTAAAAGCTCAAAAGTATATTACAGTTGATGTTGAATGAAAGGTTAAACATATTAAGACACTGATGTTGTAGGGAGGTTTCCAGTTTCTAAAGTTTCTCTTTTTTTTCTTTTTTTTTTTATATTTAGTCCTACCCTCCGTTTTGGCCAACAGAAAGAGAAAAACGTCGTAAGTACGGTCCTGTATTCACTGTGGAGATGGTTTCCCACAATCATTATCCTAACATCAAGACATATATTTTCCGAGTTACTAAGAAGGTACATATTGAACCTATTCTAAATGTCTAAGACGTTTGAAATTGTGTTGTGTGATCAAAATCCTTACATGAAATAACCAAAAAATGTTATGAATAGCATGACACATTTAAAAGTGCTTAATGTCACATGTTCAAAAACCCTGTTTCATTTGTCCTGCTGTTTGGGGCAGTGATATTTTTAGTTATCTCTATATTTTTAACTGTTTGTCTGTACAAAGAATGTTAGTTTATAAGGCTAGAAAGTAAAAATGTATATAATTGTCTACGTAGCTCTTAGGCATCCAATATTTCTTACCATACAGGGTTTTTATCATTTTATATCAAGACTTCTTGAATCTACATGTTTTTTCTGGTAATATTGCCCTATTTAAACATAATGAGTGGTTGCTAATTGTACTCTGTCATATGGAATCATAGCCTTGCAGAACTGAATGTTGGGTAAATTTCACTCAATGATTGACAGTATTGACAATCTTGATTATATAACATTGACTTTAAACATTCAGATGTATTTAAATATATATAAAAGTTGACTATTTTAAACTTCATAATTGCAACCTTTAATACATGGTAGTTTAAAACTTCATAATCATGACCTTTAATATGTGGTCATTTAAAACTTCATAATCACAACCTGTAATACATGATTCAGAAACTTTGAAACATGATCATTTAAAACTTCATAATCACAACCTGTAATACATGATCATTTAAAACTTAATCAGAAACTTTAAACATGATCATTTTAAACTTCATAATCGTGACTTTAATACATGGTCATTTAAAACTTTGTAATCATAATCTTTAATACATAGTCATTTGAAACATCATAATCACTACCTTTAATACATAATCATTTAAAACTTCATAATGATGACCATTAATACAAGGTCATTTAAAACTTCATAATCACAACTTTTAATATAGGGTCATTTGAAACTTAATCACAAACTTTAAAACATTGTCATTTTAAACTTCATAATCACAAAGTTTAATACATGTGATCATTTAAAACTCTGTAATTGTAACCTTTAATACATGGTCATTTGAAACATGATAATCATAATCATTTAAAACTTCAAAATGATGACCATTAATACAAGTTCAATTGAAACTTCATAATCACAACCTTTAATACATATGATCATTTAAAACTCTGAAATCATGAACTTTGATAAGTAGTCATTTTAAACATCATAATATATGACCTTCGATACAAGGTCATTTGAAACTTCATAATCACAAACTTTAATATGTAGTCATTTTAAATTCAGTAATACCTTCAATACTCTGTTATTTTAATCTCTGTAGAATTAACCCTTAACACTCACAAATTATTAGTTACATAAAAGTGACTGTGTCACTTTAATCTGCATAACACAAACACAGTCATAACTAATCTTACCTAATTTAACCTTAAAATACCCTAAACATTCAGTTGAATTGAGATACATAAGTCTTGTTCTCAACACATAGTTTAAACTGTGAAACTGTAAACTTCAACATTCAGTTGTGTTCAGCTGTGTAAACTATTTCTCAATACTTAGTTTAGGCTAATTCTCCACATTATGTAATGCTTAGCTATGTAAATCTTGATAATATTTTGGATTATCTACCTCACATTTAAATAAATTGGTCCTGAACTAACTTATAACTTGACAAGACAAGAATTTAATTCTTACTTTTGTTGATGCAGAAAACAAATTGTATAGAATAGCTACATTACATTTTCATCCAGCTTTTAAAAGTATATTCTTTTCACATATGCATATGTTTGTAAAAGCATAAAATCGCAAATCTCAGCTGTTTAAGTTATCTAAGTAATTAGATGATTATGTTATATGAGTATGTTGTTAGTAGTTTCCATACAACATGTTTCCAAGCTCATCTTCACATATTGAAAAATTTTATTGTTTAATTTCAAGTATGAAGTCCCACTAGGCTGTGACACATATAGCAGATTCATCAGTCATTTGTTATGTAGGCTGCGTTATGTGTGGATGGTGTGACATTTCTCTGTAGAGTAGGTTCTTCAGACATTTGTTATGTGGGTTGTGGGAAGTATGAATGATGTCACACCTCTCTGGTTAATATTTTTTCACCCTCCCATGAAACTTGAAGCTTAGGATTACCTAAAACACAGTTTTTCAGTTAAATAACTTTGTTACATTTTGCTTTCAAATCAAGTGTAACTACATAAGCTATCTTTTTGTGTTAAAACTTCAGGCTGGACCTGTGCATCTTGTGATAATGAGTAGGCTTAGTGAAGAGTTTGTCTTCTATGTGTCAACTACTGTGGTGTGCATGATGCTGTTTTTGCAAGCTCCAAAACTTATATTGGAATATTTTTAAATGATTTTGAGAAAGTGTGCATGTACTAATGAGAAGTACAAGTTCAGTAGCTAAGTAGAGCTTGCATTAGCTTAAATGTAACATTTGTGTTGTGTACTAATAGTAAGAGTAGACATGGGTGCCTAACTATTCAAAAGTGGGGGTCAAGGGTAAAGAAGTATTGGCAAGCAAGGCAAAACAATTTTTTGCTGAAAAATATTTAAATTGGAGAAGCAACTGCCCCATCTACCCTTTTGTTAGGCACCTATGAGTATAGAGTTCAAAATACATATTTTTTTTTAGTTAACAAGCTTTGTTAGGCTTAGCTAGATGAGCATTGTGTTGTATGCTAAATGTAAATCATTATGCATTGTAATTGTATAGTAAAATGTGTTGTAACTTAACTAACCATTGTAGTTGATCAGTGTTTTTGATGTGAAACAGCTCTACAGTGTTAGTCGATAGATGCTCTTTAGCCTTAGTTCCCAACCTTTCTAGCTAGTTGTAGTGTTTAGCTTTGTTTTTAGTATTAGGCTTAGTCATTGTTTGTGATGTGTTTGTAACCATATTTATTGACCTTCTTCTTTGCTGCATGGTCAACTGTATATGTGTGCGCATGCGCAGAAACCACTGGTCCACTATTCCATCGATGGGTCCTGTGAAACGAGGGAGCACCGATTGTCACCACCACATCAGAAACAAGGCTCACAGGTTCACTAATTTTGCACTCTTTTCTTTTTTCTATCTTTCTATTTCTTCTGAAGAAGCATTATCTTTTCTACACTCTTGAAGTGAAATCTCATTCAAGGTGATTTTTCTACTTTCTTGATTATTGTAAGCCAAGTTTTAACGGTACAGTCTGAAAGCAAATATTCCATCTTAATACCAGTGATCTTTACTGTGGATCTCTACAGATAGTGAACATACAGGTAAGAATCTAATTACATGGAAGCCTGAAATAAAAGGATAATATCATCACAATAAGAATTGAATGAAGGTAGTGTCATCACAATAAGGATTTAATAATGGTATTGTCATTCATATAATAATGCAGTAAAGAGAGTGCCATCACAATAAGGATTTACTAATGGTATTGTCATTCATATAATAATGCAGTAAAGAGAGTGCCATCACAATAAGGATTTACTAATGGTATTGTCATTCATATAATAATGCAGTAAAGAGAGTGCCATCACAATAAGGATTTACTAATGGTATTGTCATTCATATAATAATGCAGTAAAGAG